AGATTCATACTCTAAATTCATCATAACCATTAGTTTTAGTTCTCTTCTGATCGTTAGTATTWAAAGTGTTTTATCGCAGTTGTAGGAATATCAGGAATCAAAGGATGTTTGGTTGTAAAGACGAATAATRTCTCACCTTTGTAAAACTGTTTGTTGCCACTCTTCCCCGTCAAAACTCCTCTTGTGGCACCTCTTACTAATCCTCTTACGATAGCAAGAGGCATGTTTACATATAAAAGTTAAACTTAAGAGAACAAAATCTCGTAGTAACTCCAGAGACTCACAAACGAATATTCTCCGACTGTTGCACGATTCCTTCACGGGAATGAGCAGCCACGCCAGCTACCGACACAGGTAGCCGTGCTGTGCCTTCTAGAAATACTGTATGATCTTTTAGTTGATGTCTTCTCGTTTTTATGCGTATGGGGCTATGGGGGTTCTTGAAATGCTTTGTTTATCTGGGTAGCCAGGGAAGACTTATTGCAAAATTATCTTGAAAACAAGGATGAAAGGATTTCTTAAACAATTTTGATGTGAAGTATTAAAGCTTATTGGCATGGCAACAAATCCGAAATCACGTCTTGCATGCAAGAAAGATACTGTCTCTACAGTTTACACTACACAGCGAGTTAAAGAGGTACWTCTGAATCCTTTTTTGCAGCTATTAAAGTATCTAGAAGACCTAGCAAATATCCTTGCACATAGTAAAAACTAGTATTTATTGCAGTGTAGAATATTAGATAAGAGTTATGTAAGCTTAAAATAATGTTAATATTTTCTCCCATTATAGCTTGAGGGCCAAGTAGCTGAACTAAAAAAAAGGCTGGACGATTTACGTAGAGCTAAAAGTCAAACAATTGTTAAGAAAGACAAAGAGTATGTGTCAACGGATGTTCCAAAATTAGGAGCACGGCAATCTTCAAGCTCATGTACATGCAAAGACAAAATCAAAGAGGTCGATGCATTGAAAGAACAAATATATCATCTAAAGACAGCTCATGCAAAAGAAATGGAAACATTGAGAAATAGAGATAAAACGGTTTGTGATATAAATGACAAAATAACAAAGATATATTTATAATAATCATAAYGATGATAATGATGATAATAATCACATGAAATTATGATGGTGATAAGTACTAAAAAGCAATAAAAAATATTAAAGCATTGTATTGATACAATTATTTTTTGTTTTGTTTTTTTTTTCCAGCATAGTGACACTGAGTTACTTGAATTGCGCAAAAAGTGCAGTGAATTGCAAGAAAAGAATGAAAGTCAAGAAAATCAAAATAAACAACAACTACTACGTATTGATGACCTGTACGAACAACTCAGCAAGAAAGAAGCTGAATGGTGTGAAAAAGAGGAAAAACTAAAAATTGAGGTTTGTTCTCAAAATTCTTTGTAATTCTTTGGATGTATGAAAAAAATTGCAGTAATTATTTTAAAAATTAATAGTGGGGTTTTCTTTTCATAAAAGCTTAAATTGTCATGGGGAGAAAAATATCAGCAATGGATGGCTCAGACAGAACAAAAAATCGAAGAACTTCAAGCTGCAAATAACTTTTTGTGAGTATCGTTATTGGAATTTTTGATTGCAGTGTAGGCAGTACAATGCAGATAGCTTGATGCAAACAAAATTCTTGTATTGCTTCAGTGATCTATCATCTATCATCTATCTTCCATCGACTTTTACTTGATAGCAAGTTTATACTTCCTGTTGAATACATTGTAAAAATTGTGTGTACTGAGAAAATATAGTTGGTTTAACAAGGTGGACCAATCAGGCCATGACTAAGTTATTTTGTATCTAATCTTTTATTTTGCAGAAAAACATTGTTGCAAAGGGAMAGAGCTCGAACTGATGGAAATAATAATGATTGAATAGTGTGTATTAAATTGATATTTATTTTTAATAAAGTATGGACGACTTAGTTTTGATTGTCGCTGGGCTCCCTGTGGCAGTATGGGTTCCGGTCGCGGTTTTCCCGCCAAAATTACTKTACTAGCAATGGAGGGGCTTTCAAAATGGCTGCCAATGATTTGACAATAAGTAACCCCAAGAGTCCAAGTAGCAAGCGAAAGGCAGAAGAAATCAGGGTAAATGAAAAYGAAGAAGCATCTACCGAGGATTTTTTATGTCCAATATGTCTTCAACTTCTAATCGAACCGGTTGTAMTGCCATGTCAACACGAACTCTGTAAACTCTGCTTYACACAAAAYGTCCAAGAAGCAAACTTGCAATGCCCAATTTGTCGYATGAGAATTTCAAGYTGGGCTCGAAAACAAGCCCGTAATGGAACTCTTATTTGTCAAGAACGCTGGGACCTTATTAAAAGGCTTTTTCCCAAGAAATGTGAGCGAAGAATGGCAGGAGAAGATGACGACTGCGAAGAATACATTTGTAAGAGCACATCGTTGTTTATAAATTAATTGTTTTCATTCRTTCATGTTTTTCAATGCAAAAAAATCTTAGGGTATGCAGTTAGTTTAAGAAAATGTCTCAAGCGTGATTCGAGTGTAATATTTTTATTGTTTACACATAAAAGACGTCTGTCATCACTTCAAATCACAGTCAGTCACATGTCACTTTATCAGGAAAACAAAATTAAATTTGATGAAAGAAATACACAAATGAGACAATAAAGCATAATATGAGAAATAAAAAAGGTTTCACAGGCTACCCCCCCAAAAAAAAAAAACAACAACAACAACAAAATATAATGTAATACATTAAACAGAAAAGTGGCTTCATTTCTATTTCACTGCTTGTCTACTGTAGGCAGGAGACCTCTCAAACGGGTTCTTTCAGAAAATGGAGCAATTCGGAGTGAATATGAGGAAGAAATGAAAAAGGTAATTAAATTCATCTTGTTTGATGGTATTTCTAGAACGTGACAAGTTGAAATTATAGTAACATTGATTTTTAGATACGTAAAGCAAGAGAAGAAGAAATAAGAGCCAGTGAAGAGCTTATCCATAGACTTATGGAAGAAGAAGAAATTGTAGACACCMAGATGCAGCAAATGATTGACAGCGAYGAAGAATTRGCAAAGAAATTACAACAACAGATTCAATCTCCAATTCAGGTACCTAACTACCATCAGATSTAAYACATCTTTGMTGTACGTACAACACACATTATAATTTACAAACAAGATTTTGTTTTAGACACCTTTAAAGCAAGCATGCAGTAAAACTGTTGTCAATAAAGGGAAAACCAAGAACAAGACTACACATGGAAGTCATACACTGGAAAA